GGCAGAAAAACCCGCGTATACCATGTCGTAATTTTGAAACGAATGGCCAGCCATAGATATTGGGTGTAAGAACTGGCCCACAAGGGAGCTGGTTCCATCCTGCAAATTCTCTTTCTGAGTTTCTTGATCTGTGAAGCAAAGACTGGTCCTACATCCGAATTGCCGGCACAAGACAAAAAAAATGTATCGGAACAATTGGACTGTCTGCATGCGCTAAATAGGTCTTGAGCTTTGTACAAGAGATATTGGGCGTAAAAACTGGCCCACAAGGGAGCTGGCTGCACCCTACAAATTCTCTTCCTGAGCTTCTTGATCTGTGAAGCCTAGACTGGTCCTACATCCAAATTGCTGGCTAAAAAGAAAAAATTTGTTTAGGAACAATTGAACTGTCTGCATGCTTTTTACGGGGATGGGTAAAGTAACGTACCCGCGAGATGAGAACTTGTTCCGGGACTGTCTGCATTCACTTTTTTTGTCCTCGTGTATTATTTTCAACTCACCACGGGGTTTCTTTTACCGCAGTTTTCTATCTTTTGTTAAAGGGAGTCAAGGATGAAATGACCCAATTGTGAAGGATACAGAAGTTAACTTAATCGGTGAGTAGGGTACATTATCGGACTTACTTTAAATGAAGATATAGGGCTTTCTTTCGTTGGTCAGTTTACAGATGTTCTGTTTTTCCTCAATAGACGAGGGCGGTAGCAAATTATAACCACTTGAGATAGAACGAGTGCGAACGCAAGGGTTCGGTTTTTTCGCCCGATCCACATGTACAGTCTCTAGCGCGCGCGCTTTGCTGGATCACTTGTTACTAGAAAGATGGAAATGTAACGGCTTCAGAGATATAAGGAGTTCGTTCTACCAGACTTGAGGGCCCAGTCATTCAAAGCTCGATTAACCTTCTCCAGGTTTAGTTTCGTAATTTCCAATGAGATCGTCTTTTTTTATAATTGCTTTTTCCAGTTTTGACTTTGTCCAACGTTAAATTGACCAAAAACATTACCAGTGAAAAATACTACTGCATAGAAACTAACATCTCGATTAAACTTTACCTTGGTTACCGTGAATCACCATTTAAGTAACCGTTCCCAGAAGACTGAACCAGTGGCTGGAGACACATGTCACTTAAGAATATAACAGGAACCGTCGTCTTTATTATCGTTTCGTTTTGGGACGCCCGCGAGTTTTTGGTTGCGCACGTGCGATACTTAAGCGAGCTAAACATGAATCAAACTTAGTTGACATTCCACGTGGATGATCTATGAGCTTTTGAACGCTGGTCACGTTATGGGTTGATGCAGAAACATGCAGAGGACTGGGAAAGAGAGCAATGTACATCTGTGCAGACAAGCCACTATCCTTTTCGTAAAAGACTGGTCTTTATCACCCTCGGCTCCAAAAAAAAAAAAA